CGTGGGGGTATAACTCAGTGGTAGAGTGCTCGCTTTGCATGCGAGAAGTCTGGGGTTCGATCCCCCATTCCTCCAGAACTTTTTGTTTTTTTTTCTCCCAATTTTTGACTTCCACTTCCAGCCGAAGCTCATTCAAAATCCGCCAAAATCATCTTATCATCTCGTCAAAAATTCTACGTCAACGCTCTATTCCAATATTGCCAATTGACTTACCAAAAGTCTGCTCCATCCCGTCTAAACGATCTTCTTTCTGTCTATCATGTCGTTCAGAAGAGCACCTCGGAAATGCAGTATATTGGAATAATGATTCAAGGATTTATACCGAATTTTCCGATTAAGAAGCTGGTGGCCGATACTTATATGCTAGGGACTTCAAGAGCCGAATAATTTTTTTTTTCAAAAATCTAGTTTGTAGTTTGTGTAGTTTGTGTTGGATAATGAAGTTTTTTTTTGCAAAAAAGTGTTTTGGTCCAATGATGCAGAAAAGTTGGAAACAAAAAATTGGACTTGATGTTACTAGGAGTTTTTGATTTTTGAATTAAAAGGAACACATTTTTTGGGGGCCCCAACCAATTTTTTTCTTCCGTCATTCAACTCCTATCTAATCAAATTTCTGAAAGTACACGTAATGAAAGTTTTCATTCATTTGAGGCCTGCCCCCACCTGGTCGCTTGAACCCTAAACCAATTTATTCTTTGGAGCCAATAACTCAAGTCTTGATTTGTTATTTTATGAGGCTATAGCTGTCTCGTGTGCCAATTTATTTATTTTGGTAACGAAAATAGTTAGTATAAGATAAATACATCTGGGTGGGCCTATGGAAATTTGCACGTTTCTTAGACTTGATTTTTATTTTTTTCCATGGGATCGCCAAAGTAATTTGTGAAAAAGGGGTGGTCTTTCTGTGTTATAGGTTCAGTAGCACAGCTGATATTACCCAATGATTTTTGTTTTTTTAATCACGCCTATGTCTATCAAAAAGTCAAATTCCAGGTATCGCATAGGCAGGAATTCAGGTGTCCCCCTTTTTTTTTAGTCGTTTTGGCTTTCTTGGTGTGTCAGAATTTGGGTTTTTAGAGTCAATTGTCAAAATCTTTTCACAAATTTACAGAAAAAATCTTCGTCACCTCTATTCTTCACCTCTATTCTCTCCAGTTTTCCATAACTTTACATTTTTCACGACACTCCCCCAAAACATAATATTATTATTCCTCCCACTTATTTTCGTCTATCAAATTTTTTAAACTTTCAACACATCTCGTTCAGTTTTTTTGAACCCAGTGAGAAATGACACCCCAAGAAGTCTACGAAGCTGGTTTATGTACGGTAGTGCCTACCGTATTCCACAAATGTGAAAACGATGTTATATCGAAGAATGGCACATGCTATCAGGACTCGTGTTGTATGAGTTTTGAGGTGGGTTTCGCGTTTTTTTTTCGGATTTTCAAGAACAATGATCCACGGCTCCTGAGTATACAATAGGGATCAAATTTAGATTTTTTGGAATATAATTCAATCATTTTACTCAATAAAAAATCCCTTAACCCCAATAAAAATCGCCCAAGAAACTAAAATGACTGCCCTATTTTTCCAGGCCGCCACCTCATGGTACTACCGTCTTGCTCAGTTCTCTCACGTGGTTTTTAGTTCCATTGGTCTTATAATAATTGCTTTGTATCTTTGGAGGTACCGACCAAAACATATTCTACCCGATAATGTTAGAGTACTGGTTGACATCATGCTGTTGTTAATAGTTGTACACTGCGTTGACATGATTTTGATGCATGTAAGTTTTTTTGAAGGGTATTGAAATTTTGGATTAAGAGGTGCTGAATGCAAATAGTTTGGACTGATATTGTACTGTGTAGCAGTACTGCGTGGGCTAATATCATAAAATTACGGTAGAACAATTAAAGCTCACGGTGCTCTATGACCAGGGCCTTTTAGTGTTTCAGCCTCTGTAGCGCACCTGGTACCGCATCTAGTGATCTGCTGAAAGAATCGAAAGTTCAATTATACTAATCATTTTTTTTGTGCTCTTTCTTCGAAGCAACCCAACTTCTTGAACAAAATCACTGGTACCCCCTTTAACCCCGAAATTTACAGCTCTTCCACATCATCAAATCCTTCCTAGTCATCCCCTCGGAACCTTGTTCCGTCCGAGAAAAAGTGTCCTTCTGCGCGCCTTTCCGATACACTTATGCATTTTGCTCCATGTCCCTGGCTATATGCACTTACTGTATTTATATCGACCGTTTGGCATGTGCTTTTTACAGAAATTATTCGAAAAACCAAAAGTTTATATTGATAGCTCAACTTATTCAGTTGGTAAGCCACTTGACTTTTTGAAAAATTAGAGAAAAAACTGATTCCAGGCTGTCTTTTCCACTTCCGTCGTCCTTTGGGTCTATCGGAATGAGGACCCTGATACTTATCTACTATCCTGTCTGAATGTCCCCGTAGCATCTGTTGGGGACATGGCAAAAGCTACTGTCGCTATATTTCCTATCAATTTCCTCTGCTTCTTCATGTCAATTGGCCTATTCAGACATTTCAAAAAGAAAGAGAAGGGGTGAGACATACAGACACACAGATGGACTCTCCTAATCATTTTTATTTGAGCTCCAGTAGCCGATTCGACATTGTTCGTCATTTCACCGCTGCAATCGACGTGGAGTCGTCAGAGTTTTTGTATCGCACCACTGGAACACAGGCTGCTGTGATGGCGCTGTTTTCAGTGGCGTCGCTGTCGATGAGACTGGTTTATAATCACATTCCAAGATCGATAGGGATAACGATAGCAACGTTGTCTTATGTGAGTTTTAGTGCCTTATTGGCCCGACCTGATCCAATCGGTCTTTTTAGTCCGAACCGGACCAATTCGACCTAATTTAACCCGATTTTCTGTTTGGGCCCCGTTTGGTCCGGTTAGACCTGATTTGGCGGAACTGGTCCAGTTTTGCACGGTCCGGTCCAAGCCGGCTCGATTTGGTCCGATTTGATTCAATTCGGATTGATACCGATTCGACCCGGCTGGCCCGGTTTGGTCCGATTTGGTCAGATTCAGCCCTATTGGACCGATCGACCCAAATTGGCCCGATTGGACCGGTTTCGCCCGGTTCGGTCCAATTCAATTCGATTCGGTCCGATTGGATTCAAATTGAGTTGTTACGGACCGATTCGAGCCATCTGGCCCGGTTCGGCCCGATTTGGTCTGATGTAGCCCTATTGGACGGATTGCACAAAATTGGCCCGTTTGGCCCAACCCGATCCGATTATATCTACTGGTCCGATCCGAACCAATTTGACCCGTCATTGCCCAGACCGGCCTGTCCCTTCGTCCACATTTTTCCCGATTGGCCCGTTTGGTTTGATCCGGCCCGACCCGAACTATCTAGCCCAACTTTCATTTTTCAGATATTCAGCATCTATTGTTTCGTTGTTCCCCTGGTCATCGTTCATTATGTCCGGCAGACGTGTCAAAACCGGAAATCCCGAATTTTAAGCCACGTGGGCCTAAAATCTGTTGGTGTGGAAGGTGCGGAAAACTATTTTGGAATGATGAAATCACAATGGGAATAGGAAATCAAAAATATATTTATTCATTTTCTTTTACCGTTTACCCATCTTTACATAAAAAATGTAACCAATCCCGATGTCCAAACAAAAAATTATGTGCAAATTGTGCAGACGCAATCACCAGTAATGCAAGTGGCGATTTGGCAATTCTAAAACATTTTAACTTTTAGCATAAAAAATACCAGAAGCCATCGAAAAACTCACCCGACAAGACACCTTCTCACACAAAAAGTTTCCGAAGAAGCACCAAAAGTCGGCAGCTGTCAGGTCAACTAGCAAAACTAGCAAAAGAAGAAGTCCTAGGAATTTATTTGAGAACATTTTGTCGAATAGCAAAAAAGTTTTGGAATAGAAGTATCGGAATATGCCCCAAAATAATTGACCACTTCGAGAGGGGGTTTATGGGGCGTTGTCGAACCGATTAAGTACTTGAGAACTGGTGGGGGAGGGTTTATCCGGTTTACCCCTATGAAGGAAATCGAACACCAAAAAAACGGTGTCGTAAACAAAAAAGGTGGTTTGGATTTGGTATTAGTGAGTCATGATAAAAGAGTTTTGCAAATGGAAAAAATAAAATATGTTTCGAAATTGTGTGTGATTCAGATTAGGGAAGGGGGTCCAGGTGGTTTTTTGTGATGTGTAGTAGTGCAGAAGTCACAACTTTTTAACTGAATTCAAATCGGAAAATGTAGGATTTGTGGTTTTTGAGAGTAAAAATCACAAGTGGCGATTCGATGGAAAAGTACAGAACGAAACTCTAATAAGCGCGATTCATTAAAGGCACATGTAATTCTTGAGAGTGGTCTCGCCACGATTGCATTCTTACGGTGATTTGAATATATTTGTGTAAAATAAAAACATTTCAATAAAATAAAAATCAGAAAAACCGTCGAGTAAAAAATATTGGAGCCATGGTGATCGAACAGGAAAGAGGCCATTTCCGGATCAGAACTGGCCGAATAAGAACCCAAGTTTTGGGACCGTTTGAGGCGATGATTTTGCGATAACTAACAATTTAAAACTTTGAAAGTCCAGAAAAAAATTCTTTACCAAACGATATCAGGACTGTATCCGAAAATATCCGTGAAATCGACACCAGTCGATAAAAAGCTGTTTTTTTCTACATTTTGAGATATTTACATCACCAGTTTTGACGGAGTCAGGGTTTCTGCGAGGTCCCTGAATCTTGGTTCTTATCCGGCCAGTTCTGATCCAAGGAAGCCTCCAGGAAAGTCTCTAAAGTGACATAAATTGTTCACTATATTAAAAAGCAAACAAAAAAAGTTGAGGCCACTGGGGTCGAACCTAAATGTCACATTAGCTATGTGCCGCGTGCAGTACCGACT